AGTAGTAGTCGTCGTAGTAGTAGTAGTAGTAGTAGTAGTAGCAGCAGTAGTAGCAGCAGTAGGAGTAGCAGTAGCAGTAGCAGTAGCAGTAGCAGTAGCAGTAGCAGTCGCAGTAGCAGTCGCAGTAGCAGTAGGGGTAGCAGTAGCAGTAGCAGTAGCAGTAGCAGTAGCAGTAGCAGTAGCAGTAGCAGTAGCAGTAGCAGCAGTAGTAGTAGTAGCAGCAGCAGCAGAAGTAGAAGTAGTGGTCCTAGCAGCAGTGCCTAGTAGTTGTCGTCGTCGCAGTCACAGTCGTAGTCGTAGCCGTCAAGTTTGTACTAGTCAAGTTTGATCCCAAACCCAAGCGCGGTTTTGCGTCTTGTTCTCTCAATTCGTCAGGCAAAAGTGCGAGCGACGCTCGTGGAAACTGGTGTGACTTCCTCGGGCAACCACCGGTGCACAGACGGAGGGTTGGGTCAGAGGTTTCCGGGTGAGGGGTCGGGGGGATTAGAGTCTCTGTTGTGGTTTTGTGTTGAAGCGCCAACTAGTGCAGGGTGTAGGGCTTGGGTGTTTGAAGGAGTGGTGGCTTTCGGGTGTATGTTGAGAGAAGAGGTGTGTCTTTTCATCTGAACATACGGAACTCATCAAATCAAGGCTGAGAGGTTCCTGGCGCCCTGAACCGAGATACTGCTTGTAGCCACAACAGCAATTCTTTGAAAGCATCTGCATTGTCGGCTTGTTGGCTGCGAAACTTGCGGCTGTGACACCGCCTTGCATGCATGAGTCCTGAACTATGGAGCTCAGGTCCTGCCGGAGAAGCTTTGCCGGCTTGTTGTGAAATTGAGACATAGACAAGGGCTTTCTGGGTTGAGGGGATCGGGTCGCGTCGTCTTTTCACGGCCAGGCAAATGCAGGCAACGGCATCCACTGCCTTCGTCGAGTCCCAGGATCATGGGCTGCGATCTGCACAGCTGATATCGGCAACTGAATCGAAAAATGCCAAGGTCTGCCTTCGCACTTAGCATCGCTGCACCCTCGAGCATCGAGCAGTGACATGCAGGATTTGACCATCGCGCCTTTAAACTCGGGGCCTCTCGCCTCGAGTTCCGCTGGAGCCTGGAGCTCATGCTGAGCTTGTTCCGCACCAGGTTGCAGCAGCATTGTTCTGGTCTTCATTGCTGTGATGACGATGGTGATGTTTCGTGGCGATGATGATGGTGATGGTGATGATGATGGTGATCATGGTCGTAATCGCGAAGACAGGTGCCTTGCTAGTGCGAATGATTGTTGAGATGGTGGTTGGATGGTGCTGATGGATATGTCAATGACTTTTAAGAAGCTGGTGTTTGGTGCTGTCGAGGCTGGGATTGACAGTGAATGAGCTGTGAACAGTCCTTCCCCATGAACACACGGATGAAGAGCATAGGCGCAGCCATGGTCGCCGAATCGCGCCAGCTTCGTGCCGGCCCAGAAGCCCAGCTTCGCCCCAGCCAGCTGATAGTTGAGACGGAGCTCTTTTGCATCTTCCCTCTCCAGACTTTAGGCAGACGGAGAGGCCGGGACTCCTCGGGCTTTGGTGAAGACGCAGAGCACGCCGGGGAGCCAAAGCCCAGGCAGTGCAAGTAGGAATGTCGTTTCGGTATTCGTAAATGGCGAAGTTCGAGGGGATCTATGGGGGGGGGGAGAAGCTCTTGGATTTCACCATGCTGCAGCTCACGAACTCGAAGACGCTACGAGGTGCAACTAGCAAAGAAAACTCAGGTGTCAGTTAAGATGATCCGGTTGTGAGGTCACTATGAGAGAGCAGCGACAACAACAAAGATGAAGGTCAAAGGAGCCCAATATCAGGATCAGCAGAGCCCATCACTTCTCGCCGACCGTCTTGGGTTTGGGATTTGGGACTCATTGAAGAAGTCAAAGCCTGTACTCGTTTTTGCCCCAGCCCTCTGGCATCGCTGCCGATACAAATGCTGAAGTACGTATACGAGACCTGCTCTCGCATACAGTTGCAAACTGAGCAGAGTAGCATAGAAGAAAATGAGCAGAAGTACATACATGCGCACACACAGATAAGGTCGCCTGTACCCATGCATGCATAGTTCTTGCGTGTGTACATTAACTACTAGTAGTAGCAACATTCGCATTGCACAGCGGAAGCTTACATAGCTGTGACAGCCCTTGTTTGGCTCCTCATCGCATGGTGGCGCTGGAGCTGCGTGTCTCCGGGCTCACTGGTCCGTTGTGCGACCTCACACTATGTACACCCTGCACGGTGCAGGACTGGGCCATCATGCAGACTGTAGCGATGTTAGCAGTGACCTCACAGTCACAGCAGTCATCTTCAGCAATCCTACAAAGATCATTGCGCTTCTCGGCAATGCCAAGAGTCAGAGTCATGACCGTTTGATATCATTTTGCGCTTGTGCCCCTGTCACATGAAGTCTTCTGTACGATCCACTTTCGTATTAAAGTGAGGCTTAGTATTGGCCTTCTTGTCCTTATTGTCGTCGGTATAGGGCCGTTATTTGGCTGGTGCGGTTGATTGGCAGACGAAGCCTGGCTGACCTCTGTGACATTCTGCGACCGACTGGAGGATGTGAAGGATGCCTTGCAGGAAAAGCTGGGAGTCCCAGTGCAAGAGCAGCGGCTTCTGTTGGGCAGCGAGGCACGGCTGACTGGAGTTCAGGGTGACGGGCTTTCTGGTGCTTAACTTGTTCAGTGTCATCCCTCCTTACTTTTAGTCTCCATAAATCGGTGTTGGAGTCGCTCACTTGGTGACAGTGAAACCGCGGCCTTGTGCGGTAAGAGAAGTAGAACTGCTGCAGTCGTAAAGAACGGAGTCCAGCTAGCCGCTAGCCATCGTCGGCTGCAGCTTTAGCGTGGTAAGCCCTAAATTTCGCAGGGCACTCGAGGCGGAACACGAGCTGAACAGCTCTCGAGCAAAGACACGTGTTTGACCACTGAGGTTCTGAGAGCCCCTGACACCATGTTGACTCACCATCAGGTACAGTTGAATGCAAAGGGCTCCTAGCTCCTATGCCAGTGAGCTGCCCATGGAGGAGCCCGATGCAAGCTTCCTTCTCTCCGCTGGTGGCCTGGATGTTTCGTTGCTTCGCTGCCCGAAGCTGTCTTCTGAGAGCTGGGCACAGTGGGCCGAAACTCTCCAAGAGGACACCAATGAGAAGACTCGTAAGGATATGTAAGCCATGTCAATCGTGTGTTTCGTGGCCATGCCTTGACAGCACTGACGCTGTTCTGACATGTTCTGACGTGTAGCAACCGCAGGACGGAATGGAGCTACTTTTTGCTCCAGAGGAGGTCCAAGCTGATCGTGAGCTGGTCACTCTGGCCGTGGCGATCTCGGTCCACACCGTTACCTGTAGCACTCACCTGCAGCCCAGGTGCAGAGATCTCTAAACTCCAATCAAGTTTTGATTTGAATAATTGTTCCTACCTGTCTCTTGGTCTTCTGGACTTCCCATCTGTGACCACTCCACTCCTGATCTGGGGGGAGTCTTCTGAAGCCTTTCCACAGCAAGCGGAAACAAGCTTCGCTGGTTGAGGTCCAGCATTGTGGCGATGCTCTGGCGCTGGCTGCAGAGGAGCTTCGTAGCGACCGCGATGTAGCCATGGCTGCAGCCGCCTAGCAGCACTTGAGGCACTGGGACTGGGAATGCCGGACGGCCTGCCGTTAAGATTTGTGAGCGCAACCCAAGGAACTTTTGTGCGTAACTCCTCACGGCACGTTCGGTAGGATTCAGTCCTTGCGAGTGACTTGCACAGTGTCGCCCCTCCGAAAGAAGTCACAAAATGCGGCTGCTCTTCCCTGCGGCGCTGTCGCTGGAAAACGCTTCCACAGCTTAACACACCATGTTGAATAAGCTGCTCTTTGACTCTTGCCAGGTACGTAAATTTTCTACGTTGAAGCATGGCGTGCAATGGTTCTGTGAGCTTGTAACTTGAGGTATCACAAGCTGGACTGGCCCTCTCCTTTGTATCCGCAGCCTTGAAGGCTGACAAGGTGCATGACTGGCATGCCGATCTGGATGTTCGTGGGCTTCATTGATTCATGGGCTCACGCTGCAGGATCTGGTGCTGCGTGCGGTTCGGCAGAACGGCTTGGCCCTGCGTCATGCGTCAGCAGCCTTGCAGAGGAGACTTGCCGGAAACAGGTTGTGATGGCATGATGTCGAGCTTTCTGCCCGTTGCCAGGGATCCCGATGTGGCCTTGGCAGCAGTGGAGCAGAATGGTGACAAGGCTTCAACAGACACATTGGCCCGTAAGCTTCGGGCATCCTGGTTCTGTGGTGCATTTCTGTGTCACGAAGTGGCTCAATCATGCTCAATCCAGTTGCGGATCGTCGCGTGATTGTCAGAGCGGGGCGTTGGAATGTGTGGGTGGGGGGGGGGGGGGGGGNNGGGGGGGGGGGGGGTGAGATGAGGTTACGTTATCGCAGAACCCGGTTTCGATTCTGCCCTGCGTGATGATCCTCAAGTAGCTCATGCTGCTGTCTCCTATGATGGCTGCACACTCAAGCACGTGGGATCAGACCTGCGTGCCCAAGCTGCCCATCAGCTCGTGAGCTACAGAAGCCTCCGTTCACTACATGTACCTCCAAAGACTTTCCTGCCATCGCTGCAACACTCTCCGAGGCAAAGACCGTCAGCTGGTCCTCACAGCAGTGAAGTCGAACGGCAATGCCATACAATGGGCAGATGCCCGTTTCAGGTCCGATCGGGAGGCTCTCGCAAGCCATTTGCATGAACGGAGCGAAGAGACTCACCTTGTACGTGGCAAGCTGCATGAACAGCGCTGTAACGCGAGGTGATGATGGCTGCTGTGCGTTATCATGGCACCTTATTGCGGTGCGCTTCGGAGGTGCTTCGCAGGCTGGTGAGATTCAGCAGTTTAGCCCAGGGTGCATCGCAGGACCTCCGGAATGATCGGCAAGTCGTCTACCAGGCCGAGCCAAGCTGCGGTACTCGTCTGACTCGGGTGTGGGTCCAACGGCGGCTGTCGCAGGCCATCCTTGGACACGGATATGCTTTGCCGAGATCCCAGTGAAGTGCGCTCTGGTGCGGTGACGTGGTGCGGATGCTGAGATCCCAGGTCCTACGCCTCCGAGTCGCTTCGATCAGACCCGGAGTGGCACAGATCAATTCGGTGATCGGACGTGGCATGTACGGAAGGTTCCGAGCCTGTTCCAAGCTGATCCGACTTTCCTGACCTGCTCAGGTTAATCTCGCTGGCCTCTCGCCCGCATTCCCACATTCCGATCCGACTGGAAGCTGGGAAAATTGTGTACATTGAGGCAGCAGCGCATTTCGTGTGGCTTGCATTGGAGCACAGTCGCAGTTGACCTCTACAGTATTTCGCCAGAGCAATGCAGTCCTGCAGGATGGCGACGAACGCAGCTGAGACACATTCAACGCATGTGCTGCTGCGCAGAGCGAGTTGAAAGCATCGAAAACCATCAACGCTGTGCTCTGCAAGTCATATCAAGTCATCGAATATGTTATGGGTTGTATGCGGAACCCTGCACCCACGTGTGTGAGCGACAAACTGTCATTTCTGTGTTTCTCAGCGATGAGACTAGGCGGCTGGATGGCATGCGGGTGGTGGAAGTCAAGACTTTTCTCAAGGCTCAAGACAGCTCGAAATTGTAGCTAATTCCAAGCTTTCACTGACGTCATGGCTCCTGCAACATGGCCGCACAAGCTAGTTTTTTATCTGCAGAACACATACCACTCGTATGCACAGATATCCATAGCACGCATGCAAGTCAACAGAATAGTCTGTATGTGTGTGTGTGTGTGCGTGTATTGTTTTTTTGTTCTTGTTTGCACGTGTGATTGTAATTGCATGCATCTTTCTGCATTTGTGTCTGTATGTACGTACGTACGTACGTCGCTCGTACATACATAGATCTGAATGCATGACTGCATCTGTGTATGTATGTGTGTACATACGAAGTATGTATGTATGACTATGTATGCATGTATGTACTGTACAGATGCATATGATGTGTGTCTTATCCGTTTGTCGCTATCTCCTTCTCGCTTCCTTACTTGCTCACTCCTCTCTCTCTCGGTCCACTGAGACTCGATAGTCAAGAAAGCAGGTCCTAGCAACTTCCTGGCTGAGGCAGCCAATGTCCATTCCGCGGATTTCTACGAAGTCCTTGGTGTGCCCCGAGATGCCAGCGACGCGGACATTACAAAGGCCAGAAGGCATGATGAACAGCTGACGAAGACGCCCTCAATGTGCCTAAGCCCTGCACAGGCATATCGGAAGCTGGCTCTGAAACACCACCCGGACAGGAATACTGACAGGACTCGTGTTGCTCAATTCCTGCGTTTCCTCCTTCGCACCTGCCCGAAGCCTGCACATGCCATGTCGGAAGCTGAGCAGGATGGAGAAAGCCAAGGAGGAGTTCCAACGAATTGGCGAAGCCTACGAGGTCCTGCACGACCCTGAAAAAAGGAAGATGTATGACCAGTACGGAAAGGACGCAGTGTTTGCAAAAGCTCTAATCCGAGTCCCTGGCCTTACAGGACCCTCTAAGGCTAGCGTAGTCTCCTGACAGGAGGGTGCCGATCACGCTGGAGCTCCAGGTTTCCACGCTTCTCCAGGATTTGGAACCGGCATGACCCAAGAGCAAGCACAGCAGATCTTTGAAAGCATTTTTGGTGGACGGGGAATGCCACAGGGCTCCTACATGTTTGCTGGGAGTGGCATGGATGGCATGGGAATGCCTGGTATGAGCATGCCAGACATGGGCGGCGGCATCGACATGTCGGAGATGTTCATGTCCATGGGTATGCCAGGAGGTGCCACAAGCTCACGCTCAAGGCGTCGCCCTCATGAACAATGCACCATCCCTGCTGGACAACAGGTGACTATCCACGGATTGTCAAGCTCTGCCGCACACAACGGGAAGACTGGCCAAATCCGAGGCTTTGAACAAACTCGCAGCCGCTACGAAGTCCAGCTGGACGATGGCACCAACATATCGGTCCGCCCCGAGAACTTGACACAGCTTTGCACAGTGACTGTTCATGGCCTGACCAGCAAACCGGAGCTCAACGGTCGATCCGCACGAATTGTGGGCATGGACAGTACGAGTGGACGGTACGTAGTTATGGCGCAGGCCGCAGCTCCGACGGTGATACGTCTGCAGCCGGCTAACTGCATCCTCAATGTCGGGACGTGCGTGCGCCTGCGCGCCCTGAACCGAGGGGATCTTAACGGCCAGAGAGCTCAGGTCCTGGATGTCGACCGCTCGGCCGGTCGATATGAAGTCCAGCTGTCTGAAGGCAGACAGATCAGAGTAAAGTTTGAGAATGTCGTGTGCTAAGGTTACTGAGCTGCCGCAATGTAAAAGAGCCGTTTTTTGCATGAACGTTGTACAGTCTCTGTGGAGTCATCCACTTCGCAGTGGTTTCAGACCTAAGTCTGACCCGTCGCATTTTCCGGAAAATGCACTTCCCACAAGGGACCATAATTGTTTGCGAGGTTAGCTTGCCAGAGTGATGCTTGCCCGCGCGGCAGGCTTGTACAGACCTCGGCAGACGAAGCCGCCCTTCAAAAGGCACATGCATCTCTACACACATATTCTGAATCATATTTTGTCACTCTCATCAACCACGGACCGAGTGCTGGTAAGGCGCTGGCTGTACTGCAAACCATAGACCGACACCGCCTGCTGGTGGCAGGTGGGCAACTTCTGTTGCGTGAGCCGAAAAAAGATCGGCCAACAGCACTGCCCAGCTTCCGACGTTTGTCAAAGAAGCACACATTGCCACGACGCATCCCAGGCCCGTATTTATGCCGCCGCTGGCTGCACTTACTGCTTCGCTGCTTGGACGCACCAGACGGCACGAGGGAGACTAAGAGACGAACCCACTTCACTAGCTGACTAGCTACGTCGGGGCGAGATTTCTGCGTTCTTACCGCGCATGCATGAAGCGGTCAGATGCGAACGCGTTGCTGGACCGTACTCAGTTCACGCACATACAAGGGTGTCGACGTTGTGCTGGGGTCATGTGTCCGGTGTGATGCTGGTTCCGGCATGGCAAGCATTATGCCAGTGTAATCAGGCATCTGCAGACCCAAGCAACGAAAATAAGCAAAGAGTACCTGGCAGTCCACCACACCTTGGTGGGAGTGGAATGGAAAACGCACCTGGAGCGCCCCGGAAGAAGTGGGCGCACGATTTTGTAAGGGCGGAAATGCAAGTCGCAATTTCCACCCAAGAACAGTGGTACGTGTCGCTGGACGGGAAAGAATGCGACCTCCGTTGAAAACATGCACGGCACTGGGGAAGCCGTGGAACCGCTGCGGGCTGCAGGCCGCGTGCGCCTCACGCCTACGGTACCTAAAGGTTAAAGCCCTTTTATATGTTTCTAAGCACCCTCTGCAGGTAGCACTGTTTAGGGGAGACTCACGAAGCATAGTTTGCGAAATCGTTTGCGGCTTCCAGAAGTTCGAGATGTGTGTGATTCAATCCATGTCGGCGGAAACTGCAGAGGTTGAGACGCGAAGTGTCAGATCTGTGCGCCTTGCCGAGGTCCGCCGGCTCGGTCTCGTGAGGCCCTTAGCGGTTATTTGTGGCCTCTGCACCCCGCGAGGCAGCGCCCCGTGCAGCGCCCGTGTGTGCCGAGGTCCGCGGCTCCGACGACGCTGGCACCTCTCCGGAGGCGCCGGGCATTTTTCCCTCGCTATCTGAATCTGAACTGGTCTCTTCCGCACTCATCGTATTCATCATGTACTCGTTTACTGGAACCTGCTAGTTGATACTTGCAGATCTTGCAAGTGTACACTTGTGATACGGCAACTAATGAATCGGAATGGCAAGCGGCAAGCCGCAGCTCACTTAGATTGTAGAGAGCCACAGAGCTTCTACGGTTACATGTTGGCTTCGTCCAGTTCATATCTTTCGTCTCTTGCCATGCTCATTTGCCTTGGCAGGCTGAGACGACCAGCCAATTGGCGACTGGAGCTTAGAGCGCTCTGTCGAATGCTCTGCATGTGTCTGCATGTGTCTGCACCCTGCATCAGCGGCCTCGCAGACTCTGGGAAGGGAATGCGAACTACGGCGCCTGACATAACAGGCATGCGAAATGACCTTGCAGTAAGGCGGTGTTCGCATCTGCGAAGCGCCTGTTCGTTGGGGTTGTGAAACAGGGGCTCTTGGTTTTTGTTAACTGTTGTGCTGAGTTGACCGCTCTGTGTCGCTTGAGGTCTCAGCTGGCACTGAGGATGCTGTCCTCCTCGCTCGGGGGCTGTTCGCCATCAGGGGACGACCTTTTATCGTCAATACTCCAATCTAGAGTGGGTCGGGTTTTCTTTGGCAAAGACAGCAGCAAGCAGCGCTGTCCTCACACCCGTACAAGACCACCCACAAGCCAGGACCGATTTGGACTCTAGTAAGCACGGGTCCGAAGCCCTACCATGCCCAGAACACGCAAAAATATCTCAAGTAGCACCGCTGAAGCTCCCAAGACCACTAGTCGGGACTGTGGCGAGAGAGAGAGAGAGATAGATCAAAGTAGTGGTTATACAGATTTATGCAGTCATACAGCGAATCCGGTGGACGCTGTCAAGAAAGATCGACCAAAGTCACGGGACCGCCTTGCGCGGCTGCCGGGCAGAAACCAAGTCCCTCTACGCTGAATGTAGGAACCCTGCAGTCACGAAGTTACCCCACAGGGAGTCCGCCAGGAATCAAAGACTAGAACCCTTGGTCCAAAATGCCAACTCTGTAGAAAGTTCCACCCGGCATGCATGTTTAGGCAAGGATAGTTGGTTGCACGTGTTTTTCCCTGGAGCCAAGCTTCGCAGCAAAGGTCTCGAAGAGATCATCTGCCAGTGGCGATTACACGAATAATATGCATGATTACAGTCATGATTGTCACAATACTCACAGTATACTCACAGTGATGCAACCAACGATGAGAACCTTTATCATTGATCAAAACCCTGCATGTGCTGCATGGGTTATAGTAGCGGTACACCACCTAATCTTGATGGTCTTAGCCGTTTCACATGTTGACATTGCAAGAAGCCCTCCAGCAGTGATTCTCAACTGAATTGCTGCAACCAGTGGTGGGCCGTTAATGCACGGGCCGTCGTTGTCGCTAAAAGAATGCGAGGAAAACTGCAGCCAACCTGGGCCCATTCTAGCAGACATCACGGCTGCCCTGCATCTCAAACAGAGACTGAGTGCAAGGCTGTGCGCACCCACAGTCAATCAACGAATCATGGGTGAACGGACGTCGTCTTAAAGGCTGTGCCGCCGCCGGTGCCCGACTTGCAGCCCTTGCGGGGCATGTCCGCCCTGCCCTTCACTTGTGCAGAAACCCGTCTTCCAACAAATCGGGCATCTCCGCAGTCCACGCCAATAGCAAGCAACACTTGGTGACCCGTGGAATCGCACCGTCAACAAAGTCTGAAGTTGTCCTTCCGATCCGTCTCGGAACTCCTGGCAGTTTCCAGTCATTTCGCCTGCTGCAGCTTTACATCTCAAGCCCCGAGCTCTTACCGAAGAACATGGAAACCTCAACATGGACGCTGCCTTCGCTGATGAGCTTGATGTCACTGTCGCCTTGTGCAGGCCCTTTTATTTATCCACCATGTGCGCGCTTGCCCTTGAAAACAGTCTCTGAGTGAGTAGGAGCTTACATGCATGCATCTTGCCAAAGTGCAATCCTCGACATGCCAGAACAACGCTTGTCTTCCTGTCAATCGCAGCTGATAGTAGATCGCAGGTGATGCTCCTTCCGTTCATTCCGGTGACAGCAGCGGCCTCAGATCCGAGAAGTCGAACGGAGGAGCTGAAGTCGTGCAAGTCGGGTACCCCCTTGATTCTCTGGACCTGGTTGAGAGAAGTCGAAGCATCAGGCCTGTGTTTTTCAGGTGTGTTTGACAGCCAACATGCTTCTGTTTGTGCGCGGTTCCAGGATGTGCTTGGCATGTGTTTATCATGCGGCCAGCATGCACTTGGACACACTTCAAAACGCGTGGACCTGCAGAGTGTGCAGTTCAAACTCCACTCAGTCCAGACGTCATTGAAAATCCGAAACACAGCCCAAACTTGAGAGGGTTGAGCTGTAAACGAGTTCGGACTGGGATTCGGGATGATCGAGGCAAGCTGGACAGAGCCCCCAACTCCCAGTCCGCATCATAATTACGTTCAAGTTTGGAACAGTGGAGACCGACAAAAAACTCCTGTGCAATTCTGTTGGCAGGGTTCTCGAAAGTCCTGAGTTCGAAAGGGGACTTTGGATCTTCAGCTCTCGCCACTAGGCTTTAGATTCTGAATTGCCACTCCCGAAGAGGAAGGAAGCATCCTCGAACACATTTCCATCTATGGGACCACGTTCAGAAAGTTGTTACAGAAAAACGCCGCAACGCCTTAAGGCATCAACTGAATGAGTAGAAATGAAATTTGACAAGGTTTTAATGACGCTGTGCTGCAGTACGAGTCTCATTATTCGTGTAATTGTTGAGACGAACATCTGCTTCGGGCCAGAAATCCAGTTCTGCTGTCCTCGTATATGCATTTTAACGATCTTGTAGTCTGAGCCAGTGAACTGTATCATGTCTGCCTTGGGAGTGGGAGCCTTTCCTGGCGATGGTGAGCTCTTCATCTCTCAGGCACAGCAGAGATGGTTGTCCGCGCTGCTACAGCCATGCCGGAAGCGGCTTGCCTGGCAGTTCGAGCGGATGTGCACAAGCAATTTTCCGTGCTGCTCGATCTCTCGCATATTCGATGTTGCCGAGGCTCCCATGTCGTTGAGCAAGATTGTGCAGGCAGAAATTGAGGATGAATCGAGACGCAGCTGCATGTCGGCTGTTGACCAAACAGCGAGTGGCCTCGAACTCCCGGATTTTGCTGTTGCCGCTTTCATGATCTTGTAGTTGCAGCACTTGCTCCAACACACAGCATGCTCCAGACAAGTTAAGAAGTCTTGCTAAACAGGAGGGAAGTGCGAAGTCTTCATTACTGGTTCACGCCGACAACACATCAAGCAGTCCGCAGGTCGATTAATTCTACCTGGTTCTACCTGTAATCTTGACAGATCGAATTGAACTGCTGCGGCGATCCTCGCATTGGGTGCTCAGCGGTTCTCAGCCCAACAGGTTGAAAGCAAACCTTGAGCGGAGAGCCTCATAAAGGCGAGCCGCAGCGATGATACAAGCGGCAAAGACTTTGAGAGAAACCACTGGACTTATGGTGCAGACCTTCTACCCATTTCTACCCACTGGAGTCCAAGGATCCGCCTGGCTGTCCTCATGGTGTCAGGTCGGGCCTTGGTTCTGCAGGCCTTCTTGGGTCGGTGTGGTCTGTCTGGAGACGGTGACCCTCGGACAGCTGTCAAACTTTTGCGAAAAGGGTTTGCATAAGATTTGAGTAGCCATTCACAACACATGCTTTATCTTCTGTTGTGAAGGCTCGTTGATGTTGTACTGCTTCTCCCGGCTGCTGCTCTTATTCGCAGGCCCGGACTTTGCAAACCGTCGCGGAGCTGAAGAGCGACATTGAGACCAAAGAACGCATACCAGTCCAGGAGCAGTCGCTGCTCTTTCAAGATGAGACCCGCGCTTAGCACGTACAGCAGCCTGCAACCCCCACATTGACGAAGCACTCTCTCGGCTTATGCCTTACCTACATGTGGAAGTGGCAGGGCCTCGTCATTGCGGCATGGTCAAGCATCCATCTACTGTCGTCAATAAGTTTATGCGCGTGTTCCGAGGATTCTCCAGAACTCCCGAAAGCTTCATGAATATGGACTTCGACACGATGCTCGCTTTGGAAGAGCTTGCGTTGACGTGAGATCTCAGCTCAGGCTAAGCTGCAAACTGAGGATTCATGCATCAGCTTAGTTCGAGTCCAGCCGATGGAGCTGAAGATCATGACGGCACGAGTGAAGTGGAACATCCGCGTACAGCCGCAGGCACCTGGGGTATTGAAACGAACATCATCCTCATTTGCGTGGCTCTCATGATGCCGCAGGAAACCAGATCAAAACATTTATGACTTCTACTGTCTTCGTTCCACTACTATGTTATGAGTTGTCATGTTTACTACTACTACTACTACTACTACTACTGCTGTTGCTGCTGCTGTTGCTGCTGCTGCTGCTTCTGCTGCTGCTACTGCTATTGCTACTGCTGCTGCTACTACTACTACTACCACCACTACTACTGTTACTCGTGCTTTACTACTACTATTACTGACTACTACTTATTATATCTACTACTCCTACTACTACTCCTCCTACTGCTACTAACTACCACTACTACTGTTACTCTTACTTACTACTACTATTACTGACTACTACTTACTATATCTACTACTCCTACTACTACTACTACTACTACTACTACCACTACTACTGTTACTCTTGCTTACTACTATTACTGACTACTGCTNNACTACTACTACTACTATTGCTACCACTACCACTACCACTACCACTACTACTACTACTACTACTACTACTACTATGACTACTACTACCACTACCACGTCATGCCTCCATTTGATCCATTTGCAGAGGACTCCGTGGAAGAACTCAAAGCATTCGTCAATGAGAAGATGTCGATCCCCTTCGAGCAAATGCTCTTTGTGTGCAGAGGCTCGCCTTGCTTCTGCGGGGACGACTTGACCCGGCCCCAACGACGCAACGATGTGGTCTTACGATACGGTTGATGTTACTTAACATGGTATTTGTTGCCTGTCGTTTTGTGCTTTCGCCAAAGGTTAGTTACGCTGGTTTCCAGCATCATGTGTGGTTTACTTGTTGCTTTCTCCTTCCCTATCGCTACACCAGAGAGCGAGAGAGAGAGAGTAGGGGAAGGGACTCCAGTGCACGCGCGCGGGGGGGCAGGGTTCTGCCTGCCTTCCTTCGGCTGCGCAGAAGCAGAAGAAGGGGACTTCCCATACACCATAGCCCTGGCGAAAGCTAGAGAGAACCTTCAGCCGTCAGCTCTGTAACCTCGGAGCCTAGCCGAGAACGGGTTCGAGGCGGGTGCAGGTCAGTGGTTTCAACAGGTCTGCGTCTGCTCTGCACATTCGTAACATAAGTCATTAACAAGCTGGAGAATCCAAAGACATGTCACGGTGTTGCCCCTTGGCTGGCAGGGCACCCGCCAAATTCGTGCATGTGTTCGCAATTATTGTAGCGTCAGTTCATAGTCGCACTACTTTCTCATGCTGAAGCTTCTTCCTCCAGTTGAGGATCCTCGACAAAGTTCTCACATTCCCTGAAAGCCCCAGAAAGTAGGGGTGCGACCCACCACGCCTTGGGGAAGACAGAGACAGAGAGAGAGAGAGAGAGAGTCAGACAACCAGGGCGCGCACGCGCGCGGAGTGCGGTGCCTGCCGTGCTCTTGACTGTGTGGAAGAAGAGTCACGCCGCAAGGCCCCCACAAGGCCCCCAAAACAGGGGTGCGCCATCCGGCGCGGGGTGCTTGACACGCACCTCAAGCCCCGGAGAACAGAACAGAACAGAGTCACGCCGCGTACAGGGGTGGGGTGCCCCCGTAGCAACCTTTCGGTCAACGCAGCCCCACAATAGTTCAGTGGGGCCTGGTGCGCAGTGAAGGCTGCTAAGCAGCCCGGAGGGGGGAAGGCCTCGGCTATATCTTATAGCTTTGTTCAATTCATTGCCAGGGAAGCCATTGGACGATGGCCGCTCCTTACAAGAAATGGGCGTCGAGACTGGAGATCAGGCCCGCAGCAGATGCGCTCCATGTAAGCTGGCGCTGCGAAGAACGCTGCACTAGGTGGCGATGATCTTGCGCCTGAAGGGCTGCGGCCAGTTCATTGTGGAAACTGATGGAGGCATCATGGTCGCAGTATGTCGCATTTTGTGTCGCAGAATCGTGCAGTTTTGTCGAACCGATATATTGAGTCCAAACAAACACAGCCGAAGCACTTTGCTCCGTTGTAAAGGCTCAACATGTGGCAGAGCAAAGCACCAGCAGGAGGTGTTGTGTTGAAAACTGAGTATTCTTCGTAGAGTGACGTGAAGGTCGCATATGGGCATCCCACCCTTTTGGAGCGGGGCAGCACGGCTCAAGTGCTTCAACACAAAAAATATTGGTGTCGGTATGATTCTTCAGGCAACGCCTTGTCTTCACGCTTATGCTACAGAATTATGTGCAGACACGACCGCCCACGCGACATTGTTATGACAGCAGACATCCTCCCTCAGTCCTGGTGATTGCTTGTTCCGTTTCGCTCCAGTGAGTTATGATGAGTTTTGCTTCGGTAAACGAGCCGGGACATGCGATGCAAAGCAGAATGATCTGCCACATGACCCCGTCCCCTCCACGTGCATGAAGCTGACAGGCCAAAAGTCGGATTGCACGCTCTAGATGTGTCCGGAAATTTAGCGTGGCAAGATCATTGAATTCATTTCGTACCGTAGTCGTGAAGTCAGACTGTCCAAGCTCCCCGATGTGTCAGCCATCCATGCTGCAATTTCAAGCTTTCCGCAATGACATGTCTTCTTGAGAACATCTCTTCTGTAGATTGTGTAGGTCGGCTGAAGTTTTTGACGGCCGTCATCTAAGTGCTACGATGGTGCTGGGTGATTATAACAACCGCAAATCCAGAACGACGAGCCCCGGCCACTCCAAGCCCCATTTCATGCTTCCATCTGCCGTTTTCCCGGCATCCCCCGCAAAATGAATCCGCAGACGTGCGACTTTTTCTACCATGGATATACTCCAGGCCGAAAGCCCCCAAAGCGTTCAGACCAGCGACGAGTTCCACCAAGAGTATTGCTGCATTGCCTAATCACGCCCCCATTGAGAATACGGCATTGGGGCATGCTGGAGATTGGCTGTCCGAAACACTCACCGTTCTGTTGTCTTCAGTACACCCTGTAACCTAGTATCCTTTGGCAGGTACGTCTTTTCGTGTCGACGGTGCGTGCGCTGACAAGACGATAAGTGAAGTGAAGACCGCCATTCGTGACAGAACAGGCGGGCACCAGCCGCAGAGTCGGGGGGAGGTGCGTGTTTTCCGAGTAAAGCACGCGGTGCAGGTATGGCTCCAGCTGAGCAGCAACTGACTTTCAGGAAGCAGGTGCTGGAGGATGCACAGACACTGGAATACTATGGCATCAAGCGCGTGACTTGAATGACAAAGATGCGTCGTGCATTTCTTTCAGGCGAGAAGCATTATGAACAGAAGACCTGTGTGACTCATCGCCCACGGGCTCACATGGACACTGAGACATGTGATGCAGTCAATTGTAAGTTATGTAGCAGATGGATCCTTTTTAACCGAGGAGTGCAAGATCCAGCTGGCTCGTCGGCAACCGCAGGAGAAACTCGGAGAGACTGGAGTGAATTGTTTGGCAGTTCACACGTCAGTCCCTTGTCCTCGTCGTTTGAATTGGGCAGGACGGCTGTCGAGAACGTTGCTGCTTCTGCTGTTGAAAGAGCTTCCACCTTTGCGAAGAGGGTCTATGTTCCAAGGCGGCTCGTTGCATGATTTCGGAATTAAGATTGCGACCTCATTATGCCGAGATATCGAACTAGTGAGGATATGGGTTGATTGGCGGGAAGTAGCATGTTGAGTAAAGTACGATGACGCGCATGAGAACGGCGGCTGCAGAGGTCACTCCAGCTTCATGCATGCAAAGTAATTTGGACGTGCCGAAGGCAAATCGTCAGATAGCTGAGCAGTACAAGCGATGGCTTATTCAACTCTGCCAAGCGAAGCTCCCTTCTGCTTTTCTGAACATCTTTGCTGGTGGCGTTTGGTGTGGCCAGCTCAGTTTTTGAGACAGGCCCACTGCCCTCAAGAGGTAAAGCCAAAGCTCTGTATTGACCAGTCCGTGCATGCAACCGTTGCAATTGCAAGTGCATTCATCCAGAACCCAAACCGTTTTCCATGTTCACGAAATCTGGAAGAAACGTCATGAAAAGTTCAGTTGTTGTATGTCAGATGGATGGCTTCAAGTCGTTTCTTAGGGCTTGTAGTTTCAGCCCTGCTACGTCGGAGAGCAATGCGTCGGCGACGAAGTCGGCTGAGCGCTTGGTGTAAGGTATCGATTCTGGTCAGCAACCACTGAGAACAGCATTTACAACTTAAGTCGAACCCGCTGCTGTTTGGATGACTGACCGCTCGAGTTTCCGATAAGAGCCCAGGACCCAAGGCAGCAGTAATTTACGCCTTGCTTGGCTAAGCTGTACAAGCATGGTCTGCCTGCCGCGTGTAGGAGCGAAGTACGTGCCTGTGCTTCGAAAAGCGGAGGTGTGCTAGACATTTTTCTTCGGTCGAGGGCAGTTCATCAGTAATTTATCGGAGCTTGGTAACGTAAGATCCGGCACATGACTGGCCGAGGTGGCCATTTGTTGGAGTTTTGAACTGCTCGAGTTCTGATTGCCGTGGTCCATCGAATCGACAACAGCAGAGATGGTGACCTTGCTTGACAATGTGACCTTAGTGGTATTCCCCGCAACCACAACAACAACAACAACGCCGCTGCATGTTACTACACAGCCGAAATTCAAAACCACGAGAGCCTTCATGTGAAGCAGAAACGGCACACAACTGCGTGGCAACGATGGTGTATGCTAGGATTGGTCTCAATAATCAAGCATTGACGAGCATGACTCTGAGCATCAGTAACTCGTCCGTAGTCCTGATATCTGTGTATCACTCTTGCTATTGAACTCTAGCCTGTTAGGGCTCAGGCCTCAGTGTTGAATTCGTTTCATATCTGACCCACTCGCAGTCGCTGAGACATATTCTCATATCTTTTGAGTGTTGTAGAGCACCTAGCATCATGTCGCTTCGCACAGGGTCTGTAAAGCCATGCTAGTACAGGCTGCAATCTAAAACCTGTTACTCCATGCTGTCCAACCACTTCATATACTCAGCAATATACGTTCGTTTATCTATGACGCAGCTGTCTACTGTTTGAGCGTTGTTTCAGCGCGATGCTCCACCACGGCATTCTGATCGCATCCTGCTGCCTTTCTCGGCTTGGATAGTCTTAGGCTGGAGACCCAGGGAGATGGATGAGGTCACAAGCACGAATTGAGGCGGCCACCGTTTTTCTAAGAGTTCCAGCGATGGAGTGAACAAAAGAGCATCAAGCCTTCCAGCTGCCAACAGCAATTGAGTTAGCAATCTCATGCAGCGACTAGGGCCAGCAGTACACAACTTTCACAGAGGCAGCACTGCATCGTGCCATGCAAGGGAGCGCGGACTCCGAATACCCTTACGATTGGCGATCGACTTGGGGCCCCGAGTCTCGCCCTCGAAACCCCATCAGACAGGCCAATTTAAGTCTTATGCTCGGTCAGCTGCACACTTCCTGGACTGCCGGAACTAACCAGAACAGAGGACCAAGCTGCTGACATCGTCTGGAAAGTCACACATGTTGAGCTCACCGTGAGTCGGATTGTCAAAGGCCGCAACATCACACGTGGTTGGTGGGGTGGCAAAAAGCTTCAGGGGGAAGACCAATGAGGTCGCATGAAAGTCAACAAACCGACACTATTACATCTTAGTAGCATTTCAGTGCGAGTCGCATGAGTCCATATGAGTCCATGATCGGAAGACGGTCTATTGTTAGGTCAAGGCGGCGCGGAGATTGGCGGAGCCCTTCCCCAGGCCCGGGCTGAGTTGATCCTTCGACATGATGGTTTAGGGTTCTTTACTTCGGGTTCAGCCACTGGCTTGGGGAGATATCCTGGCCAATCCCCGACTGATATTGATCGTCCGCGACTGACGGAACCCTGACACGAAATACGTGAGTTACAACTTGTCACTCGTCATAATTGCCTGGTTGTTGCTGCGATTTATTATGTGGCTGAGGGCATCGAGATGCTCGAGACACCTCGACGGGGTTGATCCCAGTCGTCGGCTCAGGGACCCCGCGCTTCATTCCGACATGAAGTCATTGCTTGCAGTGTCTTGGTGCTGAGCAATCAGCACACCAAGATGGGATGGTTGTACTGATGCAGACCCGGCAGTTGCAATCGGCTAGGTTGGTCCACGATAATGTGCAAGTGAACATGACGCTCAGACCGACTATGGCGATGACCACTACGTAGCTGCCAACATGAAGATCGCTTCGCATCCAGGAGCGAGCGTGAGTATTCCAACCGATTCACATGCCCGGGTTCGTGACAGTGTTCCAGATGGTTTGAGCCTGGCAGGACACTACATGAATCATGAAGCCAGCCATCTCATCAACCCTTTGTCGTGACCTTGGCAGCTGGTGCATGTTGGGACTGTGGCCACGTCTCGCCGTACCTGGGAAAGAGTGCTGCTCGCAGGTCGGTGGAGTACTGGGCTTCCCTACCAGGACAAGTTCGCGACCAGGCAGGGCTGGAGGAAGCACGGACTCGACAGTTGAAGCTGCTGGAACTCCTCTAATTAGGAGAACAAGGAAACTGCAGGAGTAATAACATGCGAGGGTCAGAGAGCTAACAGCTGAGTGCTAAGCACGGAGTTTCAAAAATCTCCGCATCGCCTCGGGCCTGTTCAAACAGGTACACGTGTTATTGAGAGTCTCATATTCCGGCTACGGACCAATAAAGCAACGACATACGCAAGAATTGCAAAAGCAAGGATTACTGTAGTAGTGTTGGTGTTGGGGCTCCAGTCCAGGCCTTCGCCTTCGAATTTGAGCAGGGCCACGTCCTAGCGGCCGTGGAGTGGAAGGAAGCATTCGCAAGCATTCTGGATATGAAGTTTGGGTGATTTTGGGCTGCCCGGGGAAAAAGTTTGCTGGGAGCATCGGCAAGGCATGCTCCCAATTCGTTTTGCATTGCTATGATGCTGCCGATGTCCCGCTCGTCTGGTTTGTTGAAGCCTGCTCGAGCGCAGGATAGGGGCGACGGGATGGGTGTGCAGCGACGCTTGGAGGCATTCAGTGCTCAGAAGTGCTCTCCCAGAATCTTCCGTGCCAAGAGGAGCAGACAAACCATTCAAGTTTATCGTCTCAGGTCTTTCACTGGAAGCAAAGGCTGGAGTAGGGCTCAAAACCGTTAGCACCGTGTCTGAGTGTGTGTTTAGTCTGGACTGTTCACGTGCTCCAGCCCTGCAGAGGTTAATGGAGAATGGCAGAAGCTTTCCACTTGGGAAGCTGCCAGGAAGCCGGTTTGGCAGGCCGAGTCGAAATCGCAATGCAATTACTGGTACATACTGGTACACTGCGCCGCTGCTCCTCGAGGTTCACAAGATGACAATGTCCATGCGAAGCAGCCTCTGGCGGCTCACGCATCCCGGCATGAGGAAGCACTTCGTAGATTGGCTTTTGCATGGGCTCTTGTCTTCCGCCCAAGGTTCCTCCAGAACCACGGAGATGAGAATCATCTTGTCGTTCAAGCCGTCAGGCCTGAGAACAGCAGAGCAATGTATCGCTTGCATTTCGAGTTTTTGGGTTTGAATCATGTGCGGGGCTGCGTCCCCACCTAGGTTTAGGCTCGAGGATGTGGAGTAGCTTTGAACTTTAGGTCCGGCGCAGCGCCCTCTGACAGAGGAAAACCTGGTCATGCCACGCAGCAGGTGTCGTCCTGAAAGTGTTAGAAGTCAAACCGCGGAGGTTTGTCATCAAGTTGCAGAAGACAGAGCCAGCACACAACGCCTGGTACCCAGCCTCTTATGTGTACTCTGCGTATGTGGATGTGGCGCTTTGTGGCGCCACCTTCAAACCTCGATGCCTCGGACTTGCCAGGGTCTGTCTCGATGCGGGGCCACTCTTAACCTGAAGACAGTATGCAACATGTAATATGTCCGCTTCACCAACCTTTCATGCACTACGGCGCTCTATAATCTATAAGCGATTCGTCTGTCGCACACCCGATAGTCTGTCGATGGTCAGGCTTTGCAGTTTTCTTCGTGGCTGAACCAATGTCCAAGTCAGAGGGCTGCAGACAAGGTCATGGGTCCTGACCCTGTGGAAATCCTTAATGTGTTGATGACCTATCGTGTTACTCCTGAACAGGCATCTTCCTTACAGCGCCCGATATACGTAAGATGCACAAGGGGGATGCTCGATGGTTAACTGATAGAGCGAAATGCAGCCGGCACAAAATATTGTGGAATTGGCTGTTTGGTTGCTTCTTGGCTGCCTGAGGTGGGATATCCGCAAAAAATTACCAGACAGATCTGGGGCGACCGCAGGTTCACCGACGTGGAGGCCTGCCACCGGCTTGCCCTGGAAGCATTAAGAGCAACCTCGTTCTGTACTCGACTCGCCTGGCTTTGCGGTCTACCTGCGCATGTCGGTCCGATCACTGCTCAGGTCATTTGCGGTGAGCAGCATTTCCCAGTTCATCGTGCCGTCATCTTACCTGACTTTTCGTGCAGAGTCCACTGGCAATTTATCCGCGGGCAGACTCAACACAACTCGACTCGACAATTGTTCACAATGTTTGTTGGTCGTGCAAGTATCATGGGAGCTATCATTCGCTGTACTGGTGATTTAAAATCAGCACCAACATTCCGGGCTGACACCAACGCACAAACATCGTTTGTGTCCTAGCCTAGGCGGTGCTTGCAGCGGCTTCCACTGTCTTTGCTGCGATGCTCGGAGCAGAGATGAAGGAAAGCCACGTCCTCTGCTCAGATATCGTTAAGACCATTTTCATCCACTACAGCCCTTGACCGCACCACTGTACCTCATGTCAGGTCCAGGTAGCGACTGTTTCGGAGAGGCTTGCAGTGCTCAGGCACGTGAGATAGTAATCTCCGACACAGACGAGGAAGCTGCTCAACTGCACCGTGAGACCAGACCAGCCCAAAGGGTCTTCTGCTCCCTTCGTAGAATCGCACTGCCATGCATTGCCGCTGAGTCCGTGCAGCACATGCTTGAGTACATCTACACAGGCCGGTGACTCCGTGCTTGCTGCCCATTAGATTCAGTAGATTTTGCGACATGTAGTTTCGGCACTGTCGACGGGATCTCTTGCCAGCTGTGCGGATCCTGTCTCGTGCAGCGAACATGTTGCATGTGCTGGGCGGGCAGTGCCACCAATGCCTTGGTTACTTGAACAGGCTGTGTGGCAGAGAGAGCCGGATGTGGCATGGTCCAGCACTCGGCTGATGGAAGTTGCAGATGTGAATCATGTTGCCTCAGATCAGATTCGATGGAATTGCCTTGTTGTTACAATGCCATGAACTCTTCAGTAGGTCGGTGGTTGCTGGATTCATCACGATGCGAATGCAGCCCACCTCCGACCGTTTGCCTTTTCCTGAAGTGCTGCAGTTTCGACACAGTTTGTGCCGAAGCCTGTCTACTAGGAACACAGACAGAAAAACATGCACCGGGCAAAAGTATCAGAGTGTGCAGAAGTGCGCTGTCTGGAATGGCGTGCATATAGCGGAGCTCAACACTGACATGTCTAGGAATCTAGCAATCTGTATTCTTGCTTCCACCCATGTCCTGCTAACATGGTGCGGCTGCTTGGACTTGGTACGAGGACATTCGTCAAGTTGAATGGTTCAGAAATGCTCACTTTTGCCTCACTGCAGGCATTGGTCGCAGCGGGGGTCTCGGAGCACAGCACCTGTCTACAGGCCACGAGGCTCCATCGAACAAGAGCAGGCTCGGAAGCGCGAAAACACAATATCCTGTCTTCGCGCAATCAGTGGTAAGCAAGATCGCGCCAGGCACGTGCTGCTCGCCAGCAGGCAGAACTGGTTCAGCACAATATTTTGGAGAGGCTGGTCTGAAACGCTGGCTTGATCCGAATATCTAGCTTTGCATTTGTGTGTAGGACTGGCTCAACCCTAAAGGGGCCGCGGGTGGTCTTACGGCATAGACATGCGTCAATGCTCGCAGGTCTCCTGGCCAACCTCCAAAGACTATGGTCACGGCAGCTAGCTGGATTCGGGAACCTTTTATTTGGTCTTCACCTGCGGCACGAGCATACAGGCCCGAGCGCTCAACTCTTACTACAGCCGTTACAAAGTCTTTGTGCTCTCGTGTGTCGAACGTGCATCAGACAAGCACACGCCACTACCAAATGCGGTGCTATAGCCCTTAGAGTGTGGCACGCCAAAACAATGACAATTTCATTGCAATAGTTTGTTGCAAAGGTTGCCACTTCTTCGCCCGATGTTCGCCAATGTCTACGCAAACTGCGCAAAGTTTCGGCGGAAACGGGTCGTGGTTGACTCCGTGATTTCTGAGGAAGAGGCCCGTGTCTACACTCATGATGCCAAAGATGCTCATGGCGATCCGCTCTTCCACATCGATGAGACTTTCGGCGTGGATGCTGAGTGCTCAACGGCCTTCCAGGATTGGCCGGACAATCCGCTGAACCAAGAGATTCCAGACCGCATACGCTTCTTGATACGACGGCACTTCAGCAGCTCGGATGTGCAAGCCTGGCCAAGTCGTCGGTCAAGATTGCCTTTGCTAGGTTGGCATGTGATGTCATCTGCTGTCCAACACAACTAGCCTCCGATACATGTCAGCATGTACGATCGGACACGCATGCAGCTTGCAGATGCCGGGTTATGATGCATGTATGTATGTATGTATGTATGTATGTATGTATGTATGTACGCCTGTATGCACCCATGCATGTATGGACGGAAGGATGTACATGCAGTACATGTGTGCCAGACTGCTCACTGACACAGGGTTGCGTCGCAGGGGAAGTGTGAGGGGACGGGGGGGGAGGTGCGAAGCCCGAATCCTGGTCTTACCTCGAAGCTCCGACCAAGGCGAGAAGCGGCCGCTGTATCTGGTGGGAGCCATGCTACGTCGCACACGGCCTGGGGGCGAATGTGGATATGACGCTAGGATGCTCTACATGTTTGTCCCGCTGATACTTGGTACAGTAGGCGTCTGTCGGTGCTACAGACCTGCGTCTACAATTACAATCCTTTGATCAGTTGATGGTTTCTTCCGCTGATTTCAGTTGTGATACTTGCTTCAAGATGTGCGAGGTCCAATGGGGGGCAGAGCAATGTGCGAGGTCCAATTTGGACAGAGTAATACTGATACTAATGTGCAAAGTTGAAACTGCATCATCCGTGCTGGCAACATTCAACACACTTGTTCCTCGTCTGAGATAGCCCTCCTAGTCTGAGATAGCCCTACCCTTATATAGTGTACTTTCCGACAGTGTAGGAAAAGGTTGGGGGGTCGTTTGGCTTCGTTTGGGTGGGGGTCGGAAGTGCAGATGTGGGTTTCGGGACATATGACGGGGGGCAGGACATCTATTGGCGACCTTGACCCTGACATGTTTGCTCTGTTTGATTTTGTGTTTGTGTGCGGGCTTTGTTCGGAGACATGGGAGAGCGATTTGCGGTTGATCACGAACCTCCATACAAAGACAGAGCGCTTAAACTTCCGAGCTTTGGCCGTCGCGCCATGGGGGGACAATTGCGGGCTGATCTAGTTCGCGTAGGAACACGCATGGGCGATTGTGGCAGCAGTGGCGACCGACGAATATCAGCTTTGCTTTCGCCGGCCGTCGTTTGCCGACTTCCTGTCCTCCTGGCCAGCTCTACGGCATTCTCCGGCAGTTTGCCCCTCCTCAACGAAAAGATTCGGGACTCAGAGGTTGAGGGCCACCGGCGTTTGGCCTCAGGTGCCTGCAACAGTGGCAGCGAGACACCCACACCCACCCAAATTCCCACACGGCTTGGAATCGGGGGCGCTTTCGCTGGGGCTGCTGCAGGAAGGCAGGGTGAAATAGATGGTGTCACCCCGGTGACACGGATACTGCCGTAGTCCAGCTTCGGAGTTATGTTGTTGTAACGCTCGTCAGATGTCGTTAGTTTGTTTGCATGTCCGCTGTTTTGGAAAACAGTGAAGGCTTCTTCTCACGTCCTGAACCATTTCAGCCCCGTCCATGTTTCCTATCTTCAACGAAGATGTGCTTTGCAGCATGCCATGGAGCAGAATCCGAGGATCGCGGTCCAACAGTTTGCCATGTGGACAAGGCAAACATTAGAACCTTGGATGCGACATCATGTGCCCGCAGCCCTGACACAATCAAATAACCAACCAGTGCTTTAGGTCGAAGACCGATTTTCTTGCATGGGTTCTGAATAGTTGATGGCATGGTGCTCACGCAGGTGCATGGTAGATCCGCCCACGCCAGATGTTTTGCCCTCGAAGGCTACTACGACTACAGCGCCATTCTGTACCTCTCAACGAAGGGTACAGACTTCGAAGGAGGTTGAACGCTCGAAACACAATTCTTGTATGATTCCTGAACCACTGTGCATACCCGAGATTAGAAGAAGCCCGGCCCGCACACGTGCAGGACAACTGGCATTCAACGATCCTTGTCGGGATGAGCTGGTGGAGCCCCGTTTGGGACGCTGCGTGATGTTTGCATCTGGACCACACCATTTGCACCAAGCCAAGGCGAGAACTTCAATGTGTCAAGGGGGGAACATTGGAAGTTGAACCTATCCACTGGTTCCGGAAACCCAAATGCAACTTCCGTCCACAACTCGCTAGTTGATTTGCTTCGGACTCAGGACGGCTTTCTTTTGAATCGGCAGATGCAAGAAGATTGTGGCAAATGTTCACGGATCGGAGTCTTGCGCAGGCTGTGACGAGTGGAACAAGAATGATCATGGCTATGTGGTACAGCTTGAACTGTAAGCTTCATGGGGAACGGGTTCACATGGTGCGCGAAGCGAGGAAGAGACAAAAGGGTGCGTAAAGCGCACCTTGCGGATGCTTGCGGCTGGTGAGTGTAATCTTCTTCAATCGTGCGTGTTTCATTCCGACTTAAGCATGTTCGTAGACAGACTACGACGTCCATGGCAAGGTGAGCCTGAGTGTGTTTGTCAGCAAGCCTTACCCAGCCTCAACAGCTATCAAATCCTGTGGATTCTGCAGCCGCTCTGAGGTTGTACTCGGCCACAAGTACGATATTCCCGGTCTGGTCGAGTATGCAGCACCTGTCGCGATGGACGGCATGTTTGTCCGAGTGCAACCAACCACCAAAATCGCAAACCATACTTCAAATTCAAAGAGGGAGAGGACTGCTAGTCCAGTTTGCAAGCAGCTTCCGCATTCACACAACCCACACAAGTTCCACTTTCCGTGCCAGGCTCTTGGAAATATTAATCCGGAGAACTGCGTCAGCCAAGTTCGGATATTGCGGGTCCCTGACTTATCTTGCTGACATCCGCCGATGATCATAGCTTGGTTGCCAACATGATCAGAAGCGCACACAGCCCTGAGGCCTACCACGACGACGAGAGGCTCGGGCCAGTTTTCGAGGCGAAGTGCAGCCGGATGTACACAGACACATGCGCCAGGATCGCATGAGCCATTGAGCCCATGACCTTAACTTGTAGAAAGCGGTATGTGACGCAAGGGGTCATGCACGGCTGCTGACCAATTTGCACTTGCACAGCCTGTTGGAACACGGTGAGGCACTGCTGAACAAGATCCATGAGAGTCCCCAGATCTTTAAGTCTGTGATGCTGGGCTTTTGAGGCACGCTGCGCTTGAAAGATCATGAAAGCAACCTGTCTCAGTCTGACTCACCTGTCAAGAGGCTTCGGCTTGCTCAGGTGCGAAACGCAGAAAGCAAGGCTAGATCTGGCCTGTACAGCATTACCAGACGGCCCGAGTCTTAGGGAGTCAGAGTCGTATTGGAGAATCTCATGGAAGCCTGAGAGGCAACACTGAAGCATGAAACCTTGAGGACTTGCCGTCGTCACCACAAAACCACCGATCACGGCGATGTCTGATTCGCTAATTCGCTGCTTTGCTGCCCCGAGATGACAAGGCAATCCAACCATCAAAGCCAAGTCGAGTTAAGTCACGGTCTGAACACCATGCTACATTTTGCTTCAACTAAAAGGGGTGTGCGAAAGCTGCGAAAGTCTGTCAATGCACACAGAGCCCTTTGCGTGCTCCTCGGACCGAGGGTCCCGTCGCATGCAGAAAACTTACCCTCTGTGTGCTCAGCTGCTACAGTTCAGCTGAACTTCACGACGAGGCACTGGACCGGTCAGAAAAGCGATAATTAAGTCTCAAGCCCCAGCAGGGCCAGTGCCTGAAGTAAATTTGGCCTCCTGGAGCTCTGGTTTCACAGACCGTATCTGCTTTTGACTCTGGGACCAACAATGACCAACACCGTTGCTTTACTTTCACATCTGTAGAGACCTTGAGCTTGGGACGCCCGCAAGCGGCGAGATGCACGGAAGAGCTGGATTTAGTTGCGTTTCACGGCAACATCGGTGGAAGCTTTCCGCACAGTGGACTTTGAGCTCCGCAGAAGGGCCGAAGAAGCGAAGAGATGCGCACCAGTTCCATGCTAGGCCCTGCTAGGCCGCCTAGGCGCTTGTCCGGTTCCCGGCTCGGTTCAAGGGTCCAGAAGAAAGCTTGCAGTGTAGCTAGAACCGCTGGTTGACGCTAGAGCCACTTCCTAGCTGGGGGATTGACTCTGCAATGTCGCACCCTATGGGCTACATCCTGGATCCTGAGCGCATACCACCAGAGCTGGAGCCTTTCAAAGACAGGCTGAGTCCGAACTTCTACGAGGTCAGAAAGCGAATCATCGACTTCATTAAGCAGGACATTCTTCCAGCAATGCCTGTCTATGGTCAGCAGTACAGGGAGGAAGTGGCAAAGCTAAAAGATCGCAAGCCTGCTTCGCCTCATGAAGATCCGGCCTACACACACCATCCGGTTTGGGCAGCTTCGCCACCCATCGCAGCGACCTTGAGGCAGAAGGCGCAGGAGCGGGGCTTGTACAACTTCTTCCTCCCTGAAGTTGGGAACCTTGGAGTGCTGGAGTACGCACCGATCTGCGAGATTTTGGGAGCTTTCGGGCTCTGCAATGTGGCCATGAACTGCACAGCCCCGGACACAGGCAACATGGAAGTCCTCGAGAAGTATGGCACACCTGAGCAGAAAAAGCAATGGCTTGAGCCATTGCTTGCAGGCACCATTCGAAGTGCCTATGCCATGACTGAGCCGGGCGTTGCCAGCAGCGATGCCACAAACATCAGTGCGACCATTCAGAGAGATGGTGATGAGTACGTGATCAATGGACACAAGTGGTACATTAGTGGTGCGTGCAGACCGGAGTGTAAAATATTCATTTTCCTGGGGCGATCTGGGGGTGATTCTACACATAAGCAGCATTCCATGATTCTGGTCCCACGTGATGCCAAAGGTGTGCACATCATCCGTCCTTTGGGATTGTTCGGGCACATCCACGACCATGCCGAGATCGTTTTCGACAATGTTCGAGTGCCCGTTGGAAACATGCTCTTGGGAGAGGGCCGTGGCTTTGAGATTGCACAGGGCCGCCTTGGCCCAGGTCGTATCCATCACTGCATGCGTACGATTGGCACGGCCGAGCAGGCGCTGGATGCGATTATCCACAGAGTGCACAAGCGCGTGGCATTTGGAAAGGCCCTGGCCAATCATGCAACCATCCGCCAGTCCATCGCTGAAGCACGGATGGAAATCACAAAGTCAAGGCTCTTGTGCTATCTCGCAGCAGTCCAGGCGGACGAGCACGGCTTCAAGGATGCTAAGGCCTTCATTGCCATGACTAAAGTGGATGCCCCCAGAATGTGTCAGAAGATCATTGACGAGGCCATCCAGATTCACGGTGCGCACGGCGTCAGTCAAGATTCGCGTCTGACCGATTTGTACCACCACGTGCGGCATGTGCGGCTTGCTGATGGCCCGGACATTGTGCACTTGAACACCATTGCCAAGGAGGAGCTGAAGCGTAAGTCCTCGGTTATGGGCGAGATGGTCAGTGGCATTAACAAGAACATCGACAAGCCTCGCCGGCTTGTTAAGGGAGGGCAGGATGCTCTAGACAAGGTAAGTTTGTAGCTACAGCAGCTGGATTCTGCATAATGCATGGTAATGCTGTCGTCTCGGGATATGAGTAGACCTGCTGGTACAATGGCAGGTTCGGGAAGTTTGTGAACGTCGTGCCTGACACGAGAGCTCGGCTTTAGTTTAGCATGCACAAGAGTTTGTGCCTGAGCCACGTGTAGAGCGTCCGCAATGCCGGCCAAACAAGCCAAATCGTATCGACGGCTGCGCGATATCTACAGTTACTACAGGAATCCGAATGCCGTGGAATCCAGTCCGGATTCGTTGGCTCAACAGCGCAGGGTAGGAACCGAGCAAGCACAGTGCAAAGGCACACACCTAGGACCTAAGGCCATCTAAAGCCAAGACCCTGTACCACCTACCCACCTCTTGGTAGCAGGACTTGCTAACACGGCCATCCTAGTTTTCTTGGGTGGCATCTCGACATCAGCTGGTTCGCAAAGATGTCGACATCATGGGACGCGGACCAGGACACCCATTAACTAAGGGGACATCGCCAAAAACAGACAATCGTGTGCCTCGGCCGACGACAGGAGCGACTTCCACAGATGATCTCCAGCGAGGACGTGGCCGAAAGGCACATCTGCTCTTCGAGACTGACTCGAGCAGAGACTGGACTTCCGCGCACCAGGCAGCGCCTGGCTGACCTGAAGCAGTTTCGAAAATACCTGGCAGCGTACCCAGTGTGCTCGGTGATGCCACGAGCACAGAAGCAGGTACTGCTCATTGGCTGGTATCAGGAATCCTTTCGTCTCAGCCACAACGGAATGTCTTCTTGCGGATGTGGGGGTTTCTGCTGCTGTAGCCCTGACTCAGAGTATGGTCTGCAGGTTCTTCAGCAGTTTTGGAAGACCTTGGCCACAGCGGCCCTACACCAACCAAGCACAGACCAAGAGCAGTCACATTCGAGGTTGACACTGGAACTGTCCAGTGCTTGGTCAAGATGCTGGTGACTTAGTGGATCGGAGCTGTTGTTGAGGTCCAGTGTCTGGCTAGAACAGTGCAATCATGATACGTTGTGGCAGACATGGCAGAAAGTGTAGAACGCAAGCTTGGCATCTAGTGGGCAAAAGTTCCTGCAGCCCGTGGTGATTCGCTGTCTCTGTGCGTTGAATTTGTCTCTGTTGCCATGTGCAGCAGCTGAAGGTACAAGCATTCTGCCAAGCACGAGATGCGGATTGTCACCCGGCGTTGCTTGACATTTCTTGTTAGTGCGGAGCGGGTACTGTAGAACTCCTAATCGCGAACCTCTCGCCCGTGATGAAAATCATTGTAACTACAGCACCGCTGATGACTCTGAACCGAGAGAAAGGCGAGCTGGAGGGGGAGAGAAGGAACCAAGAGAGGCTAGGCTCGCTTGCGAGCGAGTGAGCTTGTCATTGCTGTGTACAACTTGCGCAGTGCCTTGTGGCGGTTCGCCGTTGCAACGGTCATGGTGTCATAGCCCACCCAATGTTCAGCTAGACACCTTCTTAGCGCCTCACACGGAAAGGCCAGAGTGCCTCCAACCACCTATAAGCGATTCGAGGTAAACTATGCGCAACCCGTACATGGCTCTGTCAATATCCGGGTAATGTCGAGATCGCTGGTCCATCTGAGCAGTCCTCCATACGTCTCGATACCCGGGAAGTCCAGTCCGTCGTTCCCTGAACCCACTTTTGACTTAGGACAAAGACTTTTACTTAGAGATTAGGCGGAAGTTCCCTTTTTCCCTTTCTTTTTCCTTTTCTCTCCGGCCTCGGAGCGCCAGGACAACCCGAGCCTGGTCACGCAGTTCCTTGCGGGCTACACGGACGGCAATCCCGATGCAGAGGCGCCCCGAGGGCGGCGTCCCGCGAAGCTGAGCGAAGCTCTATACTGTCTATACTTGGTGCAGTTGTGTCCCCTGCAGGAGATCCAGACACTGCAGCGAGAAAACGCACGAGCCCTCAGCCAGCGTGTCCGTTCGATCCGGGGTGCCCATGGATGCCCTTGGAGAAGGACTCTTGTGTGGAGAAATTGATGAATGAACAGACACGTGGATTGGAACCGATACTGAGATGTGCTGAAGCAGTTTCACAATCCTGCTGCATGTGCTGAAATCAACACAGTCAGGCCACTCCCAAACTGCCATAAATTTGTTCCTTTCATGGTGTTAGATTGTAGCTGCAAGCAAGCCATCCCGTGATGACTTCTGCAGCACGACACCTTGCTGAGTGTGTTAGCTCTGAAACATCAAGTGCCAGAAAGGCCGCGAGGGCCGATCGTGTTTTTAGCGTTTTCTAGCAGCTGACGACTTACGCAAGCTGCCCCATGAGGCTACACTCGAAGAGTACAATGCAGTGATGGAGTCGCAGGCACTGCTCGGGACTTCGCTGGCCTGTCAGATACGACATGTGTCTGCAAAGGTGAAGGATCTGCAGCACCAAATCGCACGGCAGAAGAGGCAGTGGTATTGCATGCCTTGTGAGCTAGACCTCAGAACCGGATGGACGCAGAGCACTCTTGCTTCAAGTCTCCGAGGAGAAACCTCGGCCGTGGCATTTGGCGTCGTTTGTGTCCGGACTCGGAGGTCGTGGGCTCGGAGCCAGGCTGCTTCCGCACCGAGTACCCAAGGGTGCCGGAACCAGTGGCTTGGCCTGAGAGCTTCAACCAAGGCTGACGTGTCCTTGGACGAGCCATCGCCTCAGTACCGCTTTGTGCAGCTGACTGACAGAACATGTGAGCCGGCAATAGACGCGGAAGATGATGCACCGACCATCTTTTGCACAGGCTCTTCATCCGGCTTTGTGGCAACGAGGCAACCTACCGCGACAGATATGTGGAAGCATGTGGAAGCCTCGCTGCCTGCATGCGAGGTTGAGCCCTCCACGGGGGAAGTGCTAGTTGACCTCCTGCGGCCGCAGACGTATAAAGACATCGACCTAGCTCGACTCTAAGCGGCGATATCGAGTTTTTGCCGCTCGCCTGCCTGGTCAATTTTTGCAAGTCACAGGTCACGGCGACTCGCGTTTCTGAAGAGGACTTCATAGCGATTGCCACGACCTGGGCAAAGTCGGCACAGACAGGGTCAGCCCCCTTTCAAGTAGCTTCAGGTGGGCGACATGGAGTCCCAAAGGCACGTTTCCTGGCTGGAGGAACTCTTCGCAAGGCCACGGTAGGACTTGAAAAGACGAAGGATACAAGCGATTGCTCAAGCCCTGCAGGCTGCAAGACTCAGAATCAGGAGAGGCGCCGTATCAACGGGAGCTTATGCAGGCGACTGGCGCCGCCAAAGTGTCGAAGTGAATTATGACTATTATTGTTGCTTCCGTCACAGTTCATACGAGCCTCTGGCACCGGAAGCCCCCAGAAGCATCTATTCAGAAAGGATGGTGGACATGCCCTGCTGAACACGCAAGACTACACGGCGAGGGTTGAGCAGCGTAGTCAAAAACTCTTTGCCTTGTTGCTGTAACACGAAGCACTACCACCATTGAGGGCAGAGTCTCCTTCGTATGCTAGAAACGAGACTTATAGTCAAGCGGCTGCCAAGCACGGCCGGAAGCATCCGGTGGAAAGGCCATTATTGATTCGGATCTGCTTCCCCACGACACGTTTCTGGCGCGGGCCCCAAGTTGGTTTCAAGCAGCTCTGCAGCAGTCATGCTCTCTCATCCGCAACAGCTTCGTGATGATGTATCCAACTTGCGATGTGTTGCAGCTGGCGGATGCTGTCGAGCTGGATGAGAATCTAGTGGCTTTCCTGGAGGCCAGACTGCGACTGCACTGGTGAATCCCTGGCTCGCCTGCGTTGTTCAAGCCTAGTCTCATAGTTTCTTTCTCGGCTGTATGTATGCCTGACACTTTACAAAGTAATCTAACGAGGATTTCGTCAAAATTACAACCAGGAAGTGTTCCGAGGCTCTGTGAATCGTGCCTGTCATATGTGTAGCTGCCTAGTGATGACAGGACAGGTAGTGAGTCCAGACAGGGATGGATCATTCACTGCGAGAGCTGCGCAGGTAGTTGCTGCTGGCCGAAAGGACAAGGGAGGGAAGCTGTCACATACTTCTGCTCGATACTGTCATAAGCACTTTCATGACATAGCCATTGGGGTGGGTCGTGACGCTAAAGCTTGCCATTTGGGCGATCCCATGCCAATGCACGAGGTCAGCAAGCGTATTCATGCACTTCTGGCACCTAATCTTTTCGAGGAATGTGCTGTGTGTCGGGCTTGGCCTTTCTCTAGCTTTCCAGACTGCACACGCAAACAAGCTGAGCAACTGGGGTGCAGATCAGAATGCATGCGCAAAGTAGCGAAAGAAGTAGCATAAAAGTTCTGATACATTGCCTCTTGCGCTGGAGGCTTCACTGCTAACAGGGCTGCGCTAGAACCTTGTATCAAGAAGATTACTGAGCGATGGTGGAAGAATGTGAAGGACGCCCCGCCTCCAGCCATATTGGAAGAAGAGGCCTGATGGCTGCCGTGGCAGATTGAGGCTTGACGAAGTTGCTGCCTTGTCAGGGTGAGCAGGAAGAAGAGCCGGCCGCTCAAGTCAAGGATTGCAATTCTGCTGCTCAGTGTTCAAATCCGAGGCCAGCTGACTGAGTCATTTGGTTTCGGTGTGTCACCCTCCCACTGAACACCTCGTAGAATCACAGAGGTATCAAACCAGCACGACCAGAAAGATTTAGGCCGGAAGAACACCTCTGGCCAGCCGTCTCACTCCCGTGGCTTTTCAAGCGCCTGGTGCGCGAAGCCCCTGAGCCGTGTAACTGCATGTGCAAAATGGTAACAACATGCTTTCATGCATTCCAGCACCATTCTTAAATGGCAGTTACGTGCGCTTGGACCTGCCAGTGTGCCTCGTGAGTGTGCAGATGACCGGGGGCTCTGGCTCAAGCTTTGAGCGCGAGTGGTCGGAACATTGGCCAAAGATGAGGAGGCGCCGCGCCCTTCCTGTGCAAAACCAATTTCCCATGTAGATTGTAGACTTCACGGCCCTTCTTCCTGCAAGCAGGGCCCGCATACTGGGCTTGTGGCTCCTCGCAGCGAGGGCTTGTGCCAATGCGTGTGGCGGCCAGACTGCAAGTGTGGCCAGCACGGCATGACCGTCATCCGTGCCCTGAGATGCCCTGAGTAGGAGGGAAAACGACACCGAAAAGACACGTGTCAGAGTGTGTGTGCTGGACACTGTGGCTTTGACGAACCTGCCACCCAGCCAAGATGACGGTGAGTGCGAGCAGCCGGATGCAACTGGCTTGGTGCAGGTCACTCGCAAAGCTAAGGCGAATGCGAGACTTACCAGCACACAAACAATCCATAAGTTTAGTCAAATGCTCGACCGATCGCATCCGATGCAGGGCCAACTGATCTGAGGAACGAGGCTGCACCAACCACTCCAGACTTCGGGCCGAATGTCATAGCACCCGGGCCGCAGACGGACGCTCCCAACAACTTGACGTTTCATTGTTGTCTTCCCAGGTCTTGGAACCTGGGGTGGCCTCCTCGGCAATCGAGGAGCTGACCGTAACTGTCTGTGCGGTCAGAAAGCTCGGGTCTGGGTCTGTGCGCACACTACGTTTCTGAGTTCGAGGACCGCCTCCAAAGCCTCTACGAGCAATACGCACTTTGGCAGAAATCGTTAAACTGAACGACGGTCTCCGAATAGATGTTAAACAGTCCTGTGTTTTTGTTGTAGCGTTTGTTCCTTCCTGTGGCAGATCAGCTGGGACGAAGATGCCCAATTCGGCGATCACCGCACAGCCATCTTATTGAAACCCGGAGAGCACCAGGCGCAGGGAGCAGCCGTGTCCATGTCAGTGGCACCTTACGCTTCCTACCGGCAGGTGGATGTGAATCTCTGGTACTACTCTGGAGTCCATGGCCTCGGCGTGAGCCCAGAAGACGTCATAGTGAAGCCTGGTCTCCGCGGGGAGGGACTTAGAGTTGAACAGCAGCCACCAAGTTACCCGGGCGGTCCCTTGCATGCATCATAGTACGTGCCAGCATCCAATGAGTGGGCACAGCTTGCAGCTGGGTCATGACGGTGATGTAGAAAATTCACTCTGTCTTAGTTCGGCCGGTATTTAGCATTTGTTCAAGGTCCTCTGCTCCCGAATACGTCACTCGTCCGCACAGAGTAGTCTTCGTGCCAATTGAGTGCTTGCTATGTGTCGTGTGGCTTCAAGACATGTCACTCTCTGTAGCATATAGTGCCGCCTGTACTCAGGAACACCTTCTGGCGCACGATCGAGAACGTGCATGTTGCGCAAGGCAAGTTGGACTTCTTCGTTTCCCAAGCCGCGCCACTGAGATCTGAGACTTGGACAAAGAAGGGTTCTTTTCAGTTCTGCTGGTCTTGCTGGCAAGTATTGATTGTGACGGCTTGCGAGGGCACAACATGACCATGCCAGTCTGCCTTTTCGTGTTACCATTTGTTTTGCGACACGACGTCGCGAGAGGACGGCCATGTAGAGCAGTTTATCTTGCCAAGGCTTTGAAAAATTGGCCTGCATCGCGCGAGGGTTTACATAAATTGCAATGACGAAGCAGCAAGCACCTGATCCACCGTGTCCACAGTTCTTCTACGTACAGCAGTACATACAGCAGAAGCCAGACTTCCTGGAGCAGTTTACCGTTAAGTGCAGAAAGGCTTCTGAAGTGATGTCAATGTCCGACGACTGCTTGCAAGGTGAAGGTTGATGGCAACCTGCACCTGTCTGCTGGAGGTCACGGGGCCCAATGCATTGTGAACAGAGTCTGCTTTGAAAGTTCCGGGTCTGCCGGGCATTCGCAGGTTCAGATTGGACTTCCGGCGGTGCTTTGATGAACTCCGACGTCAGCGGAAGCATAGTGACTGGCCCGGTGCCGAGAATCCGGTATTCTTTCGAGGGTAGCAGTGTCGCGTGTGACATGAAGCAGCACCTCGATGCACCCCGTCCTTGCTATAGGCACTCAACAGCAGTGGTACACAAGAGGGACTTTGATGAGACCATATGACCACCCAGCAGGCACGGGCATCGGGGACTTCCAAAACATAAGGTTTGAATGAAACATCCGGTGGTTGTGACATGAGCGCCGTGTGTACACTGAACGAGTTTCTGCCCAACTGCAACTGACACGCCGGGCAGGTCAGGGAAGCTATGCATGCATCTCCTGTGTCGATCGCGAAAGCGGTCTACCGTTCTATGATAGCCTCCTGCTTGCATTCACACTGGGCGACTGGTGCACAGATTATACCGCTCCGTTGAAGAGATTGGGTCTTTGAAGAACAAAAAGCCGCCGCTCCCAAAAGCAGCAGTCTGTGGCGCTTTGCGCATAGAGGTAACCTAAACCTGAACTGGAGTTTGAGGTTGGAATTTCGAGCAGCACCAACCAGATCAGACATGGCACAGTGGCTTAACGCACCATAGCGGCAGATACCAGGGTTCGATGATGCGCAGTGCTAGATTGTGCGTCGCAGGGATGTCCGTCCGTGTTTGAGGTACATGGGTGCCCCAGAAGTCTTCGCAGAGAAGCCATACATCTTCTTTCAAGAGGCATGCACGCGAGAGAGATCCGGCTGAGACTAATCCGACACTTTTGGGGAAACGAAGCACAATGAGACGAATGAGAATGAAAAAACCTTACAAAGATCATCGTTTTCATCCCAGGCTAGTAGTCAGTTTTGCAGGTGAAAACCCCAGAGAGCGCCTACATGCCACCTGCATGCCCCGAGCCACGAACGATGGCGGCACCATGCAAATTGAAGTTTGGCACTTGGCACGTGTCGGCCTCCGGAACGAAAGCGTGACGCGGCTGGAGTTGTGTCTGCTGTTCATCGACAGAGCTGACCCGACGGTTTCTGATTTCGTGAGCGCAGGGACAGTACAAGCTTCGCATCCCGGAGGTTGTACCCTCAGCAAGCCATACAGATTTGTGTAGTAGATCGCTTCGCAAAGCTTCAGGAATCGTTTGACATGCGGCAATGTCTTCTTGAGGTGCTCGAGAAGCATGCTGGTCCGGACTGGCAGAGACTTGACATTTATATGTCGACACGATTTGCGCTGGAAGCCATCTGCTCATACGGACAGCATACAATCGCTGATGGAGCCGAGGAGCGGCTCAACAGTGGGCTTTGACAAGGTCTTTGTTACAAAAGCCAAGACCACCGCTGCGCAAATCAACACCGCAATTGCTGCAGGAGCCTGGGATGCCGTTCCGTTTCACGGAGTCCCCGGAAGGGAAACTAAAACTAGATCATTGCCTTGGTGACTCTGCCGGCAAACCGGATTGCAGGAAAGCACATTGTGTTCACACCGGCGGTGTACTACTTGGACGAGCCCATAGCCGCTTGTCCGAGTATATTCAATGTCAGTGAAGTTGCAGTTGGACATGTCGAAGGCGACAATTTCGATTCCTGGCTCTCAAGCGCAAGGTTGTCAACCACCCCAACACGGTTCTCCTCGGCCTCGGTGTCTTGCCTGGTCAGCTGAGTCAGCGGTGAAGCAGTCCATGAGGACCAGTCAGGGAGCTCTACGAAGCCTAACTAGTTGTCAAAAAGTCGTACCAACGAAGGTACCGTTAACTCACCATTAGTTTTGTTAGTTACCAACATGGCAAGAGCTGGCGGCTTGCGCCTCACAGCAGGCTTTGCAACTCTGATTCCGCAAAAGTTGCCCATCTTCATCGGCAGAGGAGTGATCGAGGCGCAAACATCTGGATGCTCGGAAGGAATCCTCAGCCTGTTGCGTCCTTTGCATGTTTCATGTCCGGCAGGTTGGCAACGTCGATGGCGTTCGCCTTGCAGGAGTATTTGTGACACTCGTCTGTTGTGTGACGAGTGAGTGCTTGTCGAGACGGTGAAGCGAGGTCAGGCTCACAATGTCCTGCTGCTCAGGCAAGCAGGACCGATGGACTCGCCAGACTTTTCGAAGGCAGTCGGTGCTTTGGTCAGGCGCGTGCTAACACAGCTGGTCTGGAATGCCATCATGCGTTCCTCATGAACTCCCAAAGAGGACACCCCATGTAGACTAAGAGACACCTGAAAACCAGCAATTAACACGGTGCTTCGTTTTACAGGTGGGGCAAGCCCGAGGAGCCTTATGCGGGAACGAAGAGCAATCCCGGCGTCTTGCCTTCGGACTTCGGACCTCATGCAGCTTCTCATACAGCTCCAGCTTGCATGATTCAGTGTGAGCATCTCCATATCATTAGTCTCAGCATGGAAAATGTCGAACGCACACCACCGAGGGTTTATCTACGACTTCATCGCTCGAGTCGGTGGTCCAGATCACGAGCCTTCAGGAGAGTGCCCAAACGCCTGAAGTCTGAGCCGTCATGTTGTGCTTC